GGTGGTGGTGGTGGTGGTGGTGGTGGTGGTGGTGGTGGTGGTGGTGGTGGTGGTGGTGGTGGTGGTGGTGGTTTAACACCTAAACAAAAGCAACTCAATTCGGTACTAGGGATTAAGAAGAGGGGGAGAAGCTTGGGCCACTTCATATGACGACGTCGGCTTGTGGGACTTCGCAGTCACATTCGGCTGCACATGCGGAACTCGTCTTCCACGGCAATCGTTCAGCGTTCTTTCCACGGCGTTTGAGTTCGGTAAGTTTGCTTCGAAGTTCGTCTGTCGATGTAACTGTGCGTTCTTCACCTCTAGGCTGCTTCAGAGGCAAAATGTGAGTAAACTGTGTTCGCAGACGTTTAAATTTGGGCTCAATTTTAACACTGAGCACTACAGAAATGCATATTTTTGACAAATTATGCTTCATTCAGTATAGAATCGTGGTCATCTGCATGTGAAAGCGATTGCTGGGGAACATTTCACCAGCACAACAGTAGGAAATTACCTAACACGTGAACGTGACTGCCCCTGGTGTCTGCTTGCTAGAAGGTTTTAACATTAGATTCCGTCTTGAGCACTCGAATGAACAGCGACAAAAGAATTCACAGGCGGTGGAGTTTTTTTATGGGCAGAAGGCACTGAAGTGCACGAGTTGTCGTTAAAGTCGTTGCTTCCGGCGTAGCGTTGTGTGCTGGCCAAAAGAAATGGACAATATGCACAGTAGGGCAGGGAACGTGGACAATAACCGACTGGAAGCCCACCGCTATGACAACTTGTACTTCCAGGCACATTCACACGCTACAGCATAATTGGTACTCCTCAATGCGTCTGCCACAAACCGGGCTTGTCAGATCCTCGGCTCAAGGAGGCGTGGGGCCACGAAGGTAAAGCAGAGTTGTGGTACAGATGGCGTTGACACGCTTTTCAAGCATTTGACGACAGATTTTTACCGATCCGGTGTGCAGAATTGCTTCCGATTAAGGTCTTCGCATCACTACAAGTGACTTACCTCCGCAAGGATTCGCTAATAGTTTTGGAATTCTTCACAACTGTCATAACCAACCTTCATTCAATGAGTAAAGCGAGTCTGCACGATTAGGTCTCAAGTTGGCCTTCACAGACCACGGGCAAAAGCAGCGCCAGCACAAATTGACTTCAGGCTTCCATGTCTTGAAGGATCTTCAAAGCGACGAAAGAGACTGACGACTACCGTGTCTCACTACTCCCTTTTCTTGACGACTCATGCTCAAGCGTCTAACGAAGGCCATTCAGATATTCGATCATCGACTTGTGTGTGTGTGTGTGTGTGTGTGTGTGTGTGTGTGTGTGTGTGTGTGTGTGTGTGTGTGTTGATTCCGGCTTGCAAATGGTCGTCAGGGCACAAGATTGCAGATTAGCTGCAGATCATGGGGTTATCTACGATTGGAGGAAATTAACTATCTATTCGGTTGAAAACACTACCACACAACCGGATGGTGTTGCGTTTGCGAGTCGACATCGCGACACAGTAAACTTGCTAGGTTAAAAGTAGGTCGCCATCTGTGGAGGCACCTGTTTGACGGCAAATTCAAGTGAATAACGACGAACTAGGAGCTGAAAAGCTAAAAAGGTTGAATACAGCAAGCAGACAATCCCCCTCTACAGTACAGGATCAGTTAAACGTTCAGCAGCGACGATTGAACACGTGGTGGGGCGGCAGCGGCGGCTGTAACGTCTTGTTGAAGACGTTGATTTGCTCCTGATTCCGCATTCGTTCAACTACTAAACACGTACCGCCTCCAATGTGGATGAACACGTTCTAAACAGCACACAACGAAAGGCATGGGTGAAAGACAGCAAATTAAAGAAGTGTTACAGGAGAGCCGGGAGGGGGGGAATGGTGGCAATCCCTATATCCCCACAAGACCAGGGCGCCTTCCGGGGGTAAAAACTGACTTGCTGCCACCGCAGTTTTTGAAGCGCCTTCACCAGATGGACTGGCGTGATTCCGCGCACCTCTGAGTGTACGCGCTAATTCAGTTAACGGTGCTTTTGCAAAAAAATGCGCCACAAGAAGAGGGGGGGGCGGTCGAAAGGCCCTTCAAAATCGACACGCGCAGAGGTGGTGCTGGTGACAAGTTTTGGCGCGGGGAAAAATCAACAGCGATGGGGTTAGCGGTGGCAAAAGAAGACTCTGGGCAGACAGCACGATTGCCCATTCATGGGACCTGAAAGATTTGATGGAGATAAGCTTACGAGCTATCCCATCCACTCACTTGGGGCACAAATTTCCAACTGACATGTGCGCAGAAGTGGGGTGCCAGCGGTAGCAGAATTTCCGCGTCAAATTGGGGTTGCGTCAAGACCCCATCGACGATCTTTTTTTCCGAACCCACCATTTTGAAGTCGACCAATTTACTGAGTGTAAAAAAAAGTAGAGATCAAAGACCTAGATCTTGGAAATATTGTCTATCGCTTTCTGTGAACTTGGGCCGTTTCTCACATAACGTACGAATGCCGTTGCGAAAGAAACTTGTAGGCATCGAGGCAATAATAACATCGAAGAATTTGCGCATTTCATCCATCGTTTTGTACTGTTTAGTTACCAAAGCATGCTGCAGTTGGATGGGGTGAAGTCTGGTGAATATGCCGCGTGTGGGAGAACTTTCTATCCCAAGTTCAAGAGGGTCTGCTGAGTCGCACGAGCAACATGAGGTCGGACCTTGTCGTGGCAAATTACACCTTTGATGTTCCTCCACCAAATACACTGGAGAACCCTCTTCGAGAGGCTGTCCCGTCGATTTACTTGGTTGCCCGATATCTACCTGTGCCTTTTTATACTTTTCACACCCGTCACAATAGCTCTCAAGATGTCCTTTGTACGTTGCCGGCGGGCAAGCAGTGAAAGGCGTGTGTTCACACGTTGACTCAGGCTCTGTTTGATCAATATAGTGCAAACGCCTGGTGACTCCTAACTAAGTAGCAAGCTCTTGTCGCGTTTGCGTTGCGTCTTCAGCCAACAGAGACTGCGGTTGCACACCTTCAGACTCTCGAGGCTGTCCGGGGAGCGATAGCTCACGAATTTCAAAACTATCCCTTCCAAAATCATTGTACCAATGATAGCACATTTTATAAGACACAACTTCAGAACCAAAGATACCGCAAATTGATAGTCCCCGGTGCTTTAGAAGCAGCATTCCTCCTTGTTATTGGAATTCACATGAAATGCAGTCCCACTGAATGTGCTGTTTATCAATTGCCATCGTAAATCTCCCACTCTAAGAGGCTGCGTAACTCGCATAGACTTTCGGATTCTCGCGTCCGATTCTTTCAAAACCACAAAGGACCACGGAAATATTTCTATTTTAAACAAAAAAATGTAATAATTAAGTCCTACTTAGTGACTGGTGTGGATTGGCGTGCAGCGTCCTTTCTGTATAATTTGTCTCCACCTTACAAATGCTGAAGAAATGGACCTGTTGTGGGCCCCAGCATGTGGTCTTGAACCACGCCGGGGCCACGGAATCAACCCTAGCCCGATTACGCTTCCACGATACCCGCGATGAAGAAAAAGACCCGAGAGGACGTGGACACAACCGTTTACTTCAGAGCTCAACCACGTTGGTGTCGTTGTGTCGTGTGTGAAGGGGTTTGCGCGCGTGTATTTATACCTCAGATGCGTGAGCCATAGATGCGATAATATCGACACCTAGGTGTGAGGAGGGAGGAGTTGAGGGTCCGCGCGGCTGACGACATGCTGCGAAAAGGGGAACCCTGTGTCGGAGGCTGGAGCGACCGGATTAAGGGGAGTGAATAAACACGATTCACAACAGATCCCGGATCAAACATGACAGAGCGACGCGTAACTTGCAGTCAGAAGGTATTCAGCTCGCGTAGCACAATTAATGACCACCCAAACCGCTAATCAGCACACCCTGCTATCAGCACCTTCAGATGGATAAACACCACTGCCATCGACGGCGCGCAGTACGCCTCTGCATCACCAAAATCCACGCCAACACTGCTGCTAGGTGGTCAATTTTCTTTCCACGAACACACTCATCCAGTGGCTGATCCGAAATGAGTGACAGGTCGACAGTCGTCATTGCTGGATGTGCGATCGATCGCCCTCAACCAACTCAGAAGAATTCAACACAGCTTCGAACAAAGCGAGGCAGAAAACAGCTGGAATTCGGCTTAGGTGGGTCGGTATCCTATCACACTGTAAGAAGTCTCGTCCATGCCAGGCACACGCACACACACACGCATTAAACCCAAATCGTTTTCGCACACCAACCATCTCGAGCATAAACACCACCTGGACGAGAACGGAGATGCAAGATGTGGTAGAGGAGGAGGGGGGGGAGGTGGGAGAACAGGAGTACTGCCGGTCTTATCTTGATGTCATCAACACCGGGGTCCGAGTTGCTTCTGCGATTAGACGCGATTAACTTGATGAGAAGGTGGAGCACACACCGCTAATGCAAAAGTGGGGCAATTTTAACTGCAGAAAAAGAGCACAGATGCCCGGAAAAATACCAAAAACCGATCAGGTCGAACTGGAGGTGCTTGTGTGGGTGCGGAAATAAACCACCAAAAAGACGCAAAACAAGTGAACTCACTGCGGCTGGGAGCGAGGCGAGTGTGTTGGCGCAGCTGGTGGTGGATTGCGGTGTGAGGTGTTGGTGGGGAGGGGCACGTCGAGACCTCTCGAGGCCCAGTAGAGCCTTGCGTCCTCGAGGGCATCACCTGATTGTCGCGAGTCTCCCCGCTGCGACGACGCCGACAGCACAGACCGGGCGTAGGGATTTGGGAAGGTGGTCGAGTGACTGGGTGGGGCCACGGGTCCAATTTGGGGAGGTCTTGGTGGGCAAGGTGAGGGTGCAGGAGGTAGGGCGGGCTCGTCATGCTCTTCTGCACTGCCTCCTGGCTTCTCCGATTCCAACGGGCCCTGTTGGTGCTCGCCCAGTTCCCGTAACTTGGCCGCAGCTGAAGGCAGACAACTTTATGGCTTTTATTTCCGCTTTCAACTCACGTTTGAGACGCATGGTCACCACTGCGTAGAAATCGAAGCCCCATGGTTACACTCATTTAAGTCTACCAAGGGGACTTCACGTGTTCATTACGATTGTGAACCCCCAACGAATGTGATCGGATCGAGCCACAGTGGACGCAGAACGAGGGAATTATGAAAATTTCGCGAATAGCGGTTCCTGTCGCCCCGTTGTTCCTACAATCGCCCCTCACTAAAGTGCATCCGAGTAGTCTCTACGACTCATACCGAGGGCAAAAGTCAAGTGCTTAAAATGATAAGCTACCCTAGCAAGGCAGGTGAAAATACACTAACTGGTGGAAAAAGCTAGCTCGTAGAATCAAAGGCCAACAACAAATGGAGCGTGTAAAAGTATACGAGACCGTCGGAAGGCGGTTTTTTGTGAAAGCGCAGAAAAAAGAGCAATCAATTCACGAGAAACGGCTTGATTGGTTCAAATGACAGTTACTGCAAAATTTGTCATGTTATTTGCGCACAAATCTTTGTTTCACAATACCGATTGTGCTGGAACACTATCCAAAGTCGCCAATATTGTCGTAATATTCAGTGTTTAGCTGTACTGACAGGTATTGTTTACAGTCGATTGATGTACGAATCGCGCCTAATAACTGACTCATGAATTTGTGACTTGGTGGGCGATTCAAACCGATTTCAAGGTCGCAGCAAATGGAGGTGATTGGCGAATTAGTCATGCAGTGTGCCATCGGAGAAAAAGTTAATGGTAATTATCTGCGCTTAGACAGCGTACTTGACTTGACACGCCTCCAAACGTTAGTCACTTGTACACACTGTGGGTGTAATTAGTTCCACTGAAAACTGACTTGCGAGTAGTATATGCACATTTTGCATAAATTTAAAAGGAATCGAGAGAAGAAGCTTAGAATACGCAGTCACCTTCTTTGTTCAAAACGATTTCGTTGAACCTGCGATGAGAATGCAGCTTGACGCGGCACTCAGCAACAGACTCGTATTCCGGTGCGTAGACGATGTGAAGGAATCCGCCGTAGAAGGAGGCATCATCTAGGCGCCTTCTGACCCGTCTTTACGTTCATAAGTTAAGGAGTTATCAGTGGCAGTGGATGATGGCAAAAAAAGACAAGCAAGGCGAATCGAAAACGGTAAATGAGTGTTACTTATAGACCTAAGTAGCCATATCGAAAAGGGCAACTCCACCTGGCGGAATTCACGCAATCAAATTTCACCAGATACGTCGTCGTAAACTCCTCTGACTCCGGGTAGTTCACCTCACGAATCGAAACCAAGGGAACAGTCTGTTCAATGCGGTTTTTTAAGGCGTTCATCAGGTCGAGCGAAGGAACACCAAAAAACAGTAGGTATTGGGATTCGTCAGCGATAGTATATACCTGAAGATTAGTCGTGAGTTGGGAACTCCTCACCTTTACTGCTCGTTTGCGCTTGCCATCTCTATAGGGAGGTCGGGTTAGACAGGGTCCAACCTTCCTGTGGTGGGGATAAACAGCGGCCTTTTCCGACATCAGTCGGTGCAAGCTGAAGGTACAAAATTGGTGGATGCTGTGTAAAACAGCTGACGACAGAACACTCGTTATAAGACAGCTCTGGTTCTCGATAACACTTTTGAAACAACTGCATCGAGTTTTGCTGAGTGTGCATGGTGCTACACTATGTTATGCTTAACACGTTAGGACGTATTTACCACCGATAAGGCTGGTCACCCTGTGTAGACAATGACAGCTAAAAAAGACACACATGTTGGTACAAAACATAATAAATAAAATTGTTACCAAACAGTACGACCAAATTTTTTTCTTAACTGGTAGTATCGTAAAAAATAAAAGATAAACATATAAAAAACTACTGAGCGGTCATTCGCCAAATGTGGGCATAGTGACTGGCATGGAGGCAAACCCTAAATTTTGACTTTAAATTTGAGTTAAAATTTAACTTTAAATTTAATTCAAAGCAAAAATCCCATACGATTTGAGTTCCGAATTTTGAAGTAAAATAGTTGAACTTTTTTTACTCATTTGACGAAATCGTTTATCATATGCTTCGAGCAAAATTTCGGTAAAAGATGACAGACAAAATTGCCCGGTCTTGGTAAAATTGGTTCTTGTTAAGGCTATCAAGACAGTTAGGATAAATAAACTTAAAACAGACGATTCGAAAAATTGTAAACCGGAAAATAAAAAAAGTGGTGTTGTATAAAAAACGCACATACAAAAAGCAATGGAAATGAAGGGCGACGATACCAGTTAAATGTAAAGTTTCCGCATTTTAGAAATATGGAATCACACAACTTAAATAATAAGGCGAGATCTTGATAAGAAACATAAATGCTAGAAAGTTGTGCCACTGTTGTACCATTGACTCACAAAACGCTGTAATTATCTAATCCTAACATTATGTTCAAAAATTAATGAGGTTCCACGAAAATTAGCAACTAAGGCAGCAAGATATATTCAAGGTAAATTAAAATGTTAGGCAAAATTTGCAACGCCTAGCTACTCAAAATCAACGCTGGACATTAGAGCCCTGTCCATAAAAGAGTCAATTATTTTAAACCACAAACATATAAAAAAAATTGACAACAAGGTTGAAAACTGACACCTCTAAATTGGACCACGAAAATCGCGGATTCCTCGTGTGCTCGTTAAAACGAAATGCAAAGGGTTCATTAAGTGCGATGTTCCAATATTATGTTTATATGCTTAAAATAATACTGTTTAATATTTTTTTGCATATATTTCAAGTTCTTAAAAAATGTTTCGATAAAACTTAAGGTTTCAATAATCGAACAAGATGATTTTTAAAGAACTTGTAATTGTCGCACACTTTTGTACGCGATTTCTAACTAATTAACATACTTATGTAGTTTTAATTTTCTGAAATCAACAAAAAAGTTTCAACCAGTAACAAAAACGTTTATGTAAGAATGGGCCGTCATATTTTATATTTTGTCAACCACCTTGATTGATCACAAACATGAAATGTGTCATGAATACTTTAGAAATTTGCACAAATGTAAGAATATACCAAATGCAAATAAAAACCATTATTGCTCAGTTTTATGTCATAGTCCTCAATGTCATACAATAGCCAAACTGAAGTTGTCCCCACAATACAGTGATCCAAATCGCTGGATGGAAGCACGCCCACGCGCCCAAACTGGAGTTTCAGGCCAGCTTAGGACACTAGCAAAGCTGTCAGAAACTTTTTGACGTCAAATCATTAAAAAAAGTTGAATTCATATTTGGTTTAGTTTTGGATAATAAGGATACGCATTATCACTTATTTATTTGGTAATTTAAAAGACGAATAAAAAGTTAAAAATGGATGTAATTTAATTACTATATTTTGTGTCATAAAACAAGAAACTTTCCTTTCATAATACCCAACAGACGTTTAATCTATTTTTTGAATCTTTATGTTGCGAAAGTTTTAAAAGCATCAACTCAGTTCACGGATTTCAGATTTTCACACGTGTTTTAATGGTGACTTATTGTGTCATATTACCGTATCTAGCCCTAAAGAAACATCATTATTTATTTTGATAGTGCTGGTATTTAGATAAAAACTCCGTCAACCATTTTACCTGGTAACAAGTGGCCCACGCTTCTTGCTGTTTCCACCTACAATGTATTATCGCGAGTAAGTAGCCAATTCCTAATACAGCAAAAACTGATAAACTATAGATTTTAAATCCTTTTTTGAATGCTGGGGTTTTTAACAGCAACACTAAAAAAATTATATTTCTGTTTTCTTGGTGTGGGTGAAAAACCCACAGATGGATGATCATTGGTAAAATGCACAAATTATGCACATATGTATTTTGTCACTTTAAAATGTATTATTTGGCTTTTATCGCATTTAGGGTATTCATCAAAACCTCCTAATTACAAAAGTTGGCTATTTTAGCAAGCCTTGACAAGACCGACTGTGATGCTGGATACCCATTGGTTCCTTTCCACATGTTTTCTGAAGCTTAATGGCGCCTATCGTTTCATTCTTGAGGGTATGTGCGTATGGGAATGAAACCAGTGGGGTTCGTTCAGCTTAGGTTAATCATCCATGTAGCCGCGAGGTCTTGATAAAAGGGTATCTAAGGAAGGCTCCTCCACTGCAAAGAGAATCTAAGTACCTGGGTGTATATGGTGTAAGTGAGGTTTTTCTGAAGATCTAAAATTTAACATTGTATTTACCTGGCTGTTTTGCTTCCTAAGCTCCTCTGTGGGGGTTGTCGTCCACCTTCGGACCAGGTAAGCGTTTTGTTACGTTTCGATGCTCATTATATATTGTACATTCGAAAGCTCTAATTCACTTGTTGTAAACTTTTATTGCACCATTTCAGCGTTGGAAGAGACGGTTTTGCATATTCTACAAAATTCGTAAACCTACAGAAACCGAGGTGTTTTTCGAGTATTACAAGGACGAAACCGAAAAGCATCCTAGAGGTATTCGCTTTTAATAATAATTCATTCAGTTTGTTTTTATTGGGAGTGTTGCCTTATTTTGAGACATTATTTGGTTGAACTTCTACCCAAGATTTTTCTTGTGTTGTAGGTCGTGTCGATCTCAACTCTTGTGACTGCATCTATGAACAAAAGTCTTTTAGCAAATGGCCAAATGTTTTCGTTGTGACAACTAATTGTCGCGGCAAACGGCGCGACTATCTTTTTTCTGCTAGCACTCCCGAGGACATGAACAGCTGGATTGTACAACTCACAACGGTTCTACGCATGGTACCCGAGCAAATTCCCGGAAAGCAATTTTCGGGTAATTTACTATTACCGTTAATCCTCACGCCTATCGTTCTCAATCGCGTGTTTTTTTTCTTACTTCCACGCATGTGAATTTAATATTCCGTCACGTAGAAAAACCAAGCTTAGATTTTGCCTGTCAAAAATGGCTTCACAAGATGCTGCCATTTTCTTATTGCTCGTGCAGACCGGATTGGTCGAAACGGCACCACTGTGAGCCCGTTCCCGCAACACCGACCAATCATGTCTGGCGCCGCGTCTTCCTCTGCCTCGCCAATTAATAATCTCCCGTGGGTGTCCAATGCGTCAAGTGTGGTGAGTGCAAACATATTCACAGTGATGATAACCATTATGGTACGGTTTTTCAGATTATCAGCAAGTTGGTCTAAGTTGCTGTTTGAAGTCCCGATTTCTCTTAAAGAAGTTATTTGTTTGACACCGCTATGGGAAAAAGATTAATTAGAAACAGGCGTAGTCATTGGAAACTGCACATAGTACATATGTGAATGTGGTTTTGGATGTGTCTAGGCTAGCGTTTTCGTCAGTTGGCGCTCGCATGGTGCTAATTGGGCGTTTTACTCCCATGGTATTGTTCTGCATTCACTTCACACAATTCCCCTCAAGTGTACGCTGGTTTTTTTCACATATTTATCGAACAATTGAGAGTGGTCATAATACTGATAGGTAATCCTGTCCACTCTCTTACCAAACGGCTGGACGCGGAATCAGTTGTGTTGGTTGCTTGTTTCTATCCTAGTAGTTTAGATTTATTGGTACAATTATGCCATCATTGCATCGGAAGTTTGCCAATTTCCGGTACTAACCCATTAAAATCGAGCCACATTTGGCAAGTTACGCTTTGAACGGCCCTAATTGTTGTAGGCATCGCGTCCTGTGAAGGCTTTTTTTACTAGCACAGTCAAAAGCGTTGAGTCATCGGCGTTTTTTGTCACCATCGTGCAACTGAGTGTTCTGCTTTGATGGACATTGCGAGCGTTGTGCTTATTCCCCTAGTCACATGTTGATGCGGTGGTTCTTTTTTTTTCAATTTCACAGTTAATAACTACCACCCGTAGCTTACTTCACAAGTAAACTGTGCCTAATTCTGTTTGCTTAGAGGCGATTTTAATGTGCAGTGAAAAAAGTCAAGCAATTTTTTTTCCCTAAACCCACAATAGATGCTGAGCCTGTTGGTGATTAAGTCAAGGCCACAATTGAGTCAGATCGTGGTCATCGATGTGTGTGAGAGGTTGTCGAGTGTCTTCCTCTCACACACGCAGCAAATTAAATTTTAACTCATTAGGAAACGCGGTATTTTGATTCCGCACGTTGGTGCATTTCCACGATAGTTGGGTTCGTTGCAGCGTGCCTGGTGGCTTGAAGTAACAGCTGGTTAAAGATTTGTCAGGCAACTGATTTTTGGGCCTACTCATTCTCAGTGCCTGTAACGTGACTAACGGTGACATGATCTTTATCGCGTGAACGTGCTTGATGCCTCCTTGGAACGCTTTAGCTCGCTAAAAATCACACCGCTGTCGACACGAGTCACACCATTCGACTGAGCAAATGTCGATGAATTGACCCACCCTGAAATTGCATTCGCAGTGAATGAATAATTAATTTCTTCTATAAATGATGGGCGTTGAGGAAACTGACATTTAGCGTTACACGTGGGCCGTCCGAACGAATTATCGCTAGTAAAAAGTCGATATGCTGGCATTCGGCCACGTTGCCATGGCAAGATGTTACAAGAGTGCTGGACGTCCCAGTGAAAATGGGCTCCCAGTAGCGCAGAAAATCGTTTTTTGGTATGGCTGTGTAATTCAAGTAAATTGCGATTTAATGGGATTTTTACCGGGATTTTCCGCTTGTGTGAAACCCTGTTTTGTGCGAAAAATCCATCGCTTTTAGCCAAGTTGGGCTTACTGGTAAGGTGCTGGTGAACTGGCTCACAGTCTACGCATCTCCCGTCAGCTCTCTCATTGTTCCCGAGTTGTTTGTTTAATACCCGGTTGCATGCACACGTCCGTACCACCTTTCATCGCTGTCGTCAAGTCGATCGGACACCCCAGTGAGGCACAGTACCCCCTTACCAAATCCCGTCCACTGATTCTGAAGGCGTTGCGTGTGTGTGTGTGTGTGTGCGGAGGCGTGACGTGATCTTTCCGTAGACATCCACACATATCGCCCTAAATCGATGTCGTTAACCGAACAATGTGGCTCCTAGCGTATTGTCCCCCCACGAGACATCACGAAATGTGACAGGAGAGAGAGCAGCTATGTAGTGTTTGTCCCGCCATTCTAACTTATGGGATTGTTGACTAATGCAGTCTGGTGCGTTTGTAGAAGTACAAGTGCCTGGATAGCCAGGTGACTGCAGTGGGTAGCGTGGGGGGTGGGGATGGGAGGCACATGCACACGGGCTGCGTGAGCAGACGGTCGGTCCGCATGTCTGACTGCTACGACGCAGTGAAAAGGCGGGATGGGGATACGGTGTTTCGGAAAATGCGACGACTAGGTTAATGGGCTTGATTTTAGCACATGCACCACTGCCTACCTCATACTTTTTAATCGGCGTCGGCTCCTTCTTAATTACTTGCATTCGGTAATCTGATACCCTTGCCTTCACCTGCCAGTCTTCGTCACGTGATTGGCTAGTTCAAGTGGGAGGGGGTTAGCGAGGCCGTCCAGAACACCACGGGATTCGTCTCAGGGGCGTCACGCCGATGGTTCTCTTGCTCAAGGTTGCGGCGCGTGGAGGTCGTTGACATCTGCAGTTCTGCCTCACGTGTTGGGCTGGGTGTTCCGTGGCGTGGTGCTCACGGAAGATCACTTATACCCCTAGTAGGGAATTGTCGGTGTACTCGCGCCAGGGGACATCGTTTTTTTGTTATTGCAAACCGACGTGCCCGCCCCCGAGCCATTTAAACCTTCAGAAACACACCCGTCGGACATATGTTTCTGTGGCCAAAACAATTGTGTGGTGGTGGTGGTGCGGTGTTCCCATGGCTCCTTGTCTCTACAACCCCGACCCCGCGCGTGTTCCCACGCTCACACGCACCATCAACTACACCTGGCGTCAAACCCAAGGTCGCAAGTCAAATTACCAAAACGCACCATCAAACTCGAACGTCCAGACATGCACAAGAATTCATGTTTTTTACGAAACGTTTTGAGAATTTCCACACGCGTGAATCGTGGCTGTGGTGCAGTCACATGACTGGAATGCAATGAGGCAGTCTCGCGCATACCTTAATAGGCTTTCTCTCTCTCTGTGGCAATTTATTCGCAGTTCTCGGTGTTGCGCAGTTGTCATGTGGCATTTTAAACAGCTACACGCCAGCTTGCATTCCTGGGGCCATTAGTTACCGGCTGGAGGGTTAAGGCGTCGACCAATAAGCTTCAACGTCCATGTCAAAGTGCTGAGACGTGACTGGGTGATTTGGAGTCGAGTTCCCCATGAGCACCGATGACGAGGCAGGACAGACACGTGACATTCACCAACTTAATCGCCAATTTACGTTGTTTGTTTGTAGTCACACGGTTACTATGGTCAAGGCCTAACGGAGGAGTACCGAACGTCGTTTGGGGACCCGGACGATGATGACGAGGATTGCTATCGGGTGAGTCATTGGTTTCCTTCATAAATCATGCACACACAAGCCCACGTGTTCACACCCTCACTGGGAAGACTACGCTAGGTGCTATATTAGTTTGCTCGAGCGGGCAGTATTCGATTAGTCTAACATCCAGTGCGATGCTTGTATGCGTGTGTGCACTCCTTAATGTAAACAATTAGGTCCAGTGAAATCTGCACGATTGCAGATTCGTGTGCCCTAAGTTAGCGTCGGCCATTACCCAAAATAGCGTTAAATTGGTGTTTTGGTGCGCCCTAACACTGAGCAGCGACAGCACGCGGCCTCCTAGGTGTTTTGGTAAGATTCCATTTTGGCTGGAGGTCACGCACGTTCATTCGGTCGATCGTCGTGGTGATAATCTGGACGATTTAGTCCGTGGCACGCGCAACTTCCGATTTAGCAGTGTGTTGATGCTGCCACCGCATCCACCTAAACCGTTTTGTTGTGATTAATCGGCGACGTAGTCGTTGTCGAAGGCATAACGAGTCTAGCTGCTTCTGAAGCTAATCGATTTCACGGACCATTTATTGTGGGTGTAATCGACTCTCTCTCTGTGTTAACTATTAGATGCTACCTCAGCCAGACCACGCCTACGTGAATCTCAAGACCAGCGCAAGTTTCAGGGATCAATCTGCACCCCAGAAGGAATCAGGCAGGTTCCAAATTTGTTCTCAAAACCATCTGTCTCCTTGCGATTCCACCAATCAATTCTGCCTCGTTTGAAGCCAATCCCAATAGAGTTGTGCAATGCCCTTGGCACTCGAAGTCATAACCGTCCAATGAGAAGGCAGAACCAATGAATGGCATGTTTGGGCTTTCGTTTTCAACCAATCACTTTCCGGGCACCTATCATCGTAGAGTCAATGTTTAAGCCCTGTTCAAACGAATGAAGCGTGTTACACTGTTTCCCCGAAAATCCATCCCTAGTTTGTCTTGTCTAGTCGGCTGACCTGCTCCCATTGGTGGGTTTGTCTTTGACCAATCAAATGGGTTTGCCAGTAAGATCACTTCGCGTTAAATACAGTCGCCCACTTTTATTGGACAACGGTGTCCGACCTGCCCTGTGATTGAATGTTCATACATTTCGAGGTGATTAAATGCTCACGTCTCTGTGGTATGATCATAATTTGGTCGAAACTGTCAATTTCAGCAGACGAAAAGAGAAGTGTAATGGTGTTTGTTAAATGGGACTGATCACGTGTGCTTCTATTTTTAAATAGCAAGTCCCCAAGACCAAAGTACCCACAATGGATCGCGTCCCGATAGTGTCTACTTCAATGTGTGGGACTCCTCCACGGGCAACGTCTGTGTCGAAGGTGCGTTTTCTGTTTAAAAAAACATTTTACTCAAAACTGTGTAAGTAGTTTGTTTTTCCCCTGATCTATTCGACTAGACGCCCGCGTTGTGTATCGAAAGAGCCGGCTGGATTTAGAGCCACTGGAACTGGAATGTGTGGACGTCAAGGAGCAAAAAGAGCCTGAAGCGGATTCACCACACCAAGACGATGGACAAGGCGGGGTTTCAGTGCCACCTCCCGAAGAGCCTGCTGCTCCGTCCCAGCCATCGGATTTCAACGAGTAGGTTACAGTAATGTGTGCTTGTTTCTGCTGTTTGACAAGCCTGCTTCCACGTCTTGGCTTTGTGTGAAAAAGGTGCGCACTTCCCGTTCGTTCACGAGTCCGGGCCACATCATCGTCGTCGAGTACCAACTCCGATGACGACGCGGAAGACGTCGACAACGACGACGCGAAGGCAGTTGAGGGAGCCGGCGAGGCCGAGGCAGCACCGTCCGACTCCGGCGAACTAACTCCTCCACCGTCGAGCTTCGTCGCCGACTCCAAGGTGAGATGTGACCTTGAATCCCAGCACCACGATTGGCCAACACATCACCGAAAATGCACCAAACCGATGCTTTCTTTTTCCAGCCAGGAGACGCGCCGACGGAGGTGGACAGTGGCAGTGCAACCGGGGGACCGGTTATCCAGTACCTCGATGCGAAAAATCTCGATTTCTCTCAACGCCACCGACGAGGCAAAGGCGCGCCAGCCGTGCCGCCCAAACCCGCGCACCTGCGCAAGACGCCCGTGAACGAGGCGAGTAGCGTGGGCAGTTCGGCGGACGTCGGCTCGAGTGGGGAGCAGATTGAGTACAAGGAGCTGGACCCCCGTGGCACCCAGGCGCTCTTCATGGTCACCAAACAGGTCTTTGGCGACACCGAGGCCTACTAGTCGACTCCGCCGCCGCCGCAGCTTGTAAATAGAGTCAACGCAAACAAACACACACACACACTTCCCGAGTGCCTTTGATTTTTGCCTTTCTGTGTGACCCACGACTCGAACGCGCTACCATGCCCTCGCTCCGCCTCTGATTTCTCTCCATCCAAAGTCTATTTTTTGTTAACTGTTTTACCCATCTTCACACTGCACATTAATTGTCTCATGCAATTTGTATTACTGTCTAAGAAAACGGCTTAAATTGCTCTGTCTTATGCTGAAGTTTGATTTGCAATCGCGGGACGGCGTGTCGAGTGCTCAAGTGTGAACCAGTAAAGCTCTTTTAATTCTATTGGTCCATTGGTTCCCCATTTGCTGGTTGTTTATTCGCTTCCTGCATTTGATCGTCATTGGTGGATCGCAGCTGCCAATAGGAATCACGCAAAAATTTGTCTTTCTGTGATTGGTTCTGACTAGACTGACCAATTAAGCGACCTGCTTAATCATTTGAACGACCCAGTCAGTTCACTTCCATGCCGTCATCTCCAAACAAGTAAGCAGTGGATATTCCTTTGGAAAGTGTTTCAAAAATATGTTAAAAAAATTTTAGGCCCACAAATCATGCACTATTCAAAAAGACTACAATGAGTGATAGATATTGGGGCATTCCCAATTGCCATCGATTTTTGATTATGCAAATTAAGTTTCCTGCTTCATAAAATAGTTCTCATGTTTCACGGTGACAAACATGCTTAACCAGTCATGAGAAGATTAGGAATTTTGATAAAATCCACTTGATAATATTTAAATCTTCGCCATCTTATAGTAATTGCTAAAACCACGTACCACTTTGTGTTACTTTCACTTCACTCATAACATGCAATGCCCACATGTTTTGTGCAAATCAGAACCAGTGTATGTATCAATCAACATTGCTAATCGCATTAAATTTGGCAACTCGCATACACGTAACACGTCCAAATGACTTGTTTAAAAGAACTAAAGCCAGAAAAGCGACTTAGATGAAAACTGGTAGTACAAAATTGCAGTCATCTGAAAGTTCTTAAAGGATATTCATATCATGCAATCAAATTACTTTTTGTTGCTCACTTCCAAGCACAAATACAAAAAATTGACAAGTTTGCCACCAAACATACGACCACCTTAATCACCGATGAGTTTTTTAGTGCCGATGGTGCTTTGGTGCATGCTACACTGCATGGATCCTATTGGCTGAAGCTTTCTATTGGTTGGGTTTATTTTAAATGCAATGGGTGGGACTGGTCGCGCCCTCATGCACGCTTTGTCGATTACAGTAAGTTGGTTGTCTCAAGGGGGCTCCGGGTGGACACGCGATGTTCCATGGACTCAGCAGGTTCCTTTGGAGTTGATTTATTTGGTCTTGGCAACACGCAAAGAATTGCCATAATCAGATACACTTGATCGGAAAACAAAACGCGAATTGGCTGAAGTCAGCGAGACTTTACTCGCTTTAAACCAAACCCTGGGAATATTTTCGGATTCCCATTCGTCTTTGACATGCCCGCATCGTCGTTTTGGAGGTGATTAACTCGAAAAGTGATTGCAAACTTCTGGCCAATGAGTGTGAAGTGTGGTGTGCGTGTGGGCCAATCAGCTTCGAGTGTCACGAGGCACTGTCTAACTAGCTGGGGTTTTTTTGTGACAGCGACACAAAGCATGGCAATTCTTAGCGCGTCGCTGGCCGTTTTATCCAGCTTGGGCACTTCACGCTCACCTCCGATCGCTTTGTAATGCCCTAAAATTTTTCATGCGTTTAGAACCCATGGTTACCACACACAACGACCTCGACTACGACGAAATCGTCCAGAAACTGATACAAATGGCAGACGCATTTGATCGGGATTTCTGCCAGGCTGGCCCCGTCTTACGGTTCGAAATGGAGGCGCATTTTCGATACCTCCTTTGTCTGGCGGAGGCGTCCCTTGTAAGTGCGTGCTTGTTAAATTCTCCTCTTTTTTGTACTTTCCCTGTCTCCGCTCAGCTCGTTCGCACAAAGCACACTTTGCAGGCCGTAGGATAACTTTTAAATCAGACAAACCGCCTTCGGTTGGAAACCCAGACTCACCAAGATGCCTCGTCGCGTGCACCCGTTTTCTAGGCCAACTTTCCCTGGTTCGAGTGAGTATCAAGTTTCCGTGGGAGCCGCAAAAGGCCTCTCATCACGTCATTGCGGGACGATGTTCTCCGTCACCAAATTGTCTGTGCAGTTATGTGCTAATCCCACGAGATGCATCATTTCGACACGGCAGATATCTTGACGTGTCGGTACGTGGTTCTCCAGAATCGGTGGTTTGTTTCAGAAGAGATTTTGCATTCCGCTAACTCCGTAGTACAAACGCACCTCGAGTTGACGATTGGCTGATTAATGACCAATCAAGACACTGGGCGACTTATGCTACCAATCAGGGCTCAAGGTCGCGTTGTATTCTGACAGACCAGGCTCTTCTGGACCGGTTGAGGTGTGAATTTCGACTGACGACTTGAGGGCTGGAGGCTGTGCAGCCAGTCATGCCACACTACGTGTCGCCACTTGAGAGAAAGAGGCAAATGTGGGGGGAAAGGTGTGCGCGTAATGCGACACTCACCTGTCATTTTGAGTAGAAAAAACGGTACTGGTTGTAGTGAAAAACTAATCGTCGAGGCAAGTAGTCCATGGCCGCAATGCACGAAGTCTTTGTCAAACACGCGTGTCTGCCTTAGGATTGATTTCAGTTGAAAGTAACTCGGAGACCCAACGCTTGCTTGGAGATAATTCAGGATTAGAGTTTCCTCCTTCGTTCGCGATTTCCATTGGACAATTCCAGACCGATTAACCCGGTTTTCGGAATTATTCCGTCCAGCAAATGCCCCTCTAAAGGCAAATTCGAGTCAGTTTTCAATCTCCCTGGGCACTTTAATAAGTGTGCCTGTAGAAGCATGTCGTGGTGTGTCTATCGACGTGTGCGTCGTTAGTAGTATATCGACACCCGAACTCAACACATGCTCGTTGTTTTCTTCTGGTGTGGAGTATCAGCTCATTCACATTACTATAAAAAAGCTTACAACTATTTCTCCACTTTGCCATGTTCTAGGCTTCATTCAGCTAAGATGCGGTGTGAAATGAGTTCGTGAATCAATTTAGATCGAGTCCTTTCCACAATTTCAATGCACTCTCCCAACTTGCATGACGTCATTTGTCGGTGTTGTGTCACGACCTGATTCCTCTCAGTTTCTCGCTCCATCTCTGATTCGTCCATTAGGCGGTTACCATCGTCGCATATCATGGTTATGCTTTATACCCACGACCTCGGCGGTCAATGTGAACACGTTGTCCTTGACCTGATTTATGTGGGGAGCCAGCCTTGTGCTTTGCGACGCCTTCTAAGTGCTGAGGGGTGCGACCGTGTTCATTCCACCTCCCCCATGTTGTGTGAAGATGGCGCGGCGGTCCGTCATGAATGACTTATTACGCCAGTGAGTCATCAATACCTCCGATTTACCGGTTCCTTTGCAGTCTCACCCACGTGGAGATCGCGAAAGTCGGCTTCCTTCATCTGGAAAAAGTGAGCGCATATTTGATTGGCTAGCGACTTCAGTTTGATTTGTACCAGAAGACGATAGCTTTATTCGGCTAGTTGAATCACCAGTAATTAGTAATTTCCTGATGCTCGGGTCAACCGCCTCCTGCCTTCTACTAAACCAACGCCTCTAAAAGCGTCATTTTCGCCCCCCCCCCCTCCCGTGATCTTGTTGGCTGATTGCAAAGTCGCCAGCATGACTCATTCAGCGCTAAAGATGACTC